ATAATACTTACAGAGTCCGAAGATAAATGGTGTTCTTAAAAAGATCTGGCTCAAATGACGCCATGTAGTTACAATCTAGCAATCTAGTGACATCATTAATAAGAAAATCAAGAGTTTGTTACAGTCAGTTTATCATAAATCAAAAGTAAATTCTAAAACTTCATTTTAGAATTATCCGTTGCTCAGGGCAGGTGGACTCGATTTTGTTCAAAATATTTATGTACTCCAGTGAATGTCCTTCAAATTTTTGTTTGTTTGTATTTTTGAGAAGCCGTACATTTTTTCCCCTTAACCGTTGGTATTTCTGAATATTTTTACAGTGAACGACCCTAGGTAATAGAGCCTGCATGAAATCAAGAAACACAGTGGAACTTTACTWATACGAAAACATCTATTCTTACAAGCTTGATAGTGCTCTGAGCGGCATAAAGGCTTCTGCTTCGATGGTAACAATCGAATTATCGAGCAAATTGCTGTGAAAATGAAACTTTATAAATTAGGCCGGTCAGTCGGTGGGTCGGTGGGTCGGTGGGTCGGTGGGTCAGGGGGTCGGGGGGTCGGCGGGTCAGGGGTTCGATGGGTCAGTGTGTCGGTGGGTCAGGGGGTCAGGGGGTCAGGGAGTCAGCGGATCGGGGGATCGGTGGGTCGGTGGATCAGGGGGTCAGGGGGTCGGGGGATCGGTGGATCGGTGGATCAGGGGGTCAGTGGGTCGGGGGGTAGTTGAGTCAGCTAAATATATTGTGGGATGAAGAAATGTTCAAGTAAATACAGTTGTTACTTGTTAGACTAACAGGTAAGACAATCTTGGCATTCCTTCAAAAAAACCGTTTGATATCACTTTGATTCTGTTGCGACTGAGGTATCTGCACAAAATAAAGGAAAAAAKTACGATTTACTCTCAAAATGGTCGTGTGATCGTATTCCAGTAGTTTCAGCCATGCTTGCTCTGATTCATTGTGAACGGTCAGTATCACGTGATGGTACGTTTTCAAACCATTCTTCCGTATTGACCATATGTTTTAAGAGGGATTTGCTTGTCGAGTGTCTGATATAATTTTGGACGCGCTGTGTTTAACGTCTTTAAATRGGCTGCCATTTTAGGTGGTCATCTAAACCATATCTTTACAGACAAATCAATCCATGTTTGGCTTATATCCGTTTAGTGTTTAAAGTGTGGAATGGCATTTTAGTGTGAAAGATCCGATAGGATCCAAAGTACCCATATCAAGGAATCAAATYATGATTTTTTGTAAGAAAGTTGGGCCTCACCGCATACACTTTTTCTGAGATAACGAACAAGGTGCATTACGCCGTATATGGTGTTGATTGTACCCATGCTAGACCACAATGCACTATGTTCACTGCATGACAGAGTAAATTTATCTCATCTAACTTCAAAATATTTCCAAAATATCCAGCTGAGCGGTGAATTTTCTTTTAGCCAATCACAGCGCGTTTAGCTGTTTTGCCACCGGCCCTCATTCCCAGGCTACTGTAACTCAACTTTTGCGTATTTTTTCTGTTTTCGTTTGACTAAAATATAATATACGTGCTTAGAAGAAGCAGAAATATGGAAGGATATAACTAGCTAAAAACTAGTGTGAGCTGCGTCGGTGTTTCTAATGAAACAGTAATGATGAAAAGGTAAATTATACACCGTGAAAAGATGAAAAAACTTACTGACGTTTCGGACRCTAGTCCTTCGTCGGAGTAAAAGAGCAGAAATATGCCAGAAATATGGAAAGGAAGAATAAAAACAATTTCACTTTACTGCTACGTTTGCTTCGTTCTTTCAAACTCCAAAAATGCTTAGAGCCGGTCATTTTGTCTACTCATGCTTTGCGCGCTGCATTCACCGCTCAGCTGGGGTGTTGTGCAAACCAACTTACAGCTTTCGTAGACTGCTAAGTCCCTTGAATGCTTTCAGAGAGATCTTCTCAATGTAGTTTTGGGAAAGATACCTTAAACGCATATAATTTTACGACCATCATTCCCCGAAAGAAGCTGTTCCGTTGAGTTAGCTCCACGCGTATTACCACTACACTCATAATACACTACTTTGCTAATGCAAACTTTTTCCCCGTTCCAGTTCAAATAAGGCGTAAATTTTCAGAAATTCGTTGAATTAATAAGACAAAAATGTGGCAGTCAAACCATTTTGCAGCAGTTCCCTGAGTAAACTGGAGCGAGAGAAAATTTGCATTAGCAAAGTAGTTTATTTACAACACACAACACCGACTACATGTTGATTTTTGCGTTATAAAGAGGAAGGAAAACCGGAGAACCCGGAGAAAAACCCTCGTGGCAAAAGATAGGAAAACACATCAAACAAACTCTATTCACATGATGTACATTAGAGACTTAAGCCTACGATCTCAGGCTGGAACTATAGAGCGTTTTCACTCACGTKAGAAGGCAGCCATAAACAATAGAAAATTTCTGTTCAATATTTGCATAAAAATAGAGTTCAATTTCCAGAGGATAGAAAAAATATTGTTTTGGTACCCCATAATGGCCGCTGTGACGTCACGTGAAAACGCTCTATACACCAACAGCGTCGAGAGACAGCGCCGTACAGCGCATGCACGAAGATTATCGAGTGGTTTGGATTATTCAAAAATGACAAGATTATTAGAGTTCAAGTTACTTCTATCATTCCAAAAATAAATGCTTAACAGCTGTTTCAAAAAAAGGCTGAATACTGAATACCAGAATACTGCATACTGAATAGTGCATTCCAAGACCGAAGTGCATTGTGGTTCATAGAGACATTGTCTAAAGTAGGATTAATAATAATTATTTATTCTATTTTTAGTGTATTCCATCTGAAACAATATACTAACTACATGTAGAGAATTAATTGCTGTATATTTACTTTTTATTTCAAATTAACGAGACCCACAATGCCCTTTGGTCTTGGAATGAACTATTCAGTATGCAGTATTCAGTATTCAACCTTTTTTGAAATAGCTGTATACACTAACGTAGCTCAAACCAGTTTACTCACTTATTTTCTTTTATATTCTTAATGCTTACAGATATTTTAGTCTCGATAGTCCTGCAAAGTAGTTATCTCCGACTTCCACCAAGAGATTTTGGTTCAAGAGTCTGAAAATAACAGATGAAAGTACGGTTTTTTTTTGTAGAATAATTGTCAAATTGGCGCAGGTTTTTGGTTCCTTTTCCCTAGACAATCATATCCTCGTCCCAGGCTACTTTCTTCGCTGTTCGGCATGACGTCACTTAAGAGCCACTTAGACGAGTAGCCTGGCCAAAATTCACGATTTCGGTGAAGATGATGATTTATGAATTTATATAGCGCCTTTTCTATATGAATATAATCAAAGGCGCTTTACAYKGAGWHGTGAATGACAGATTGCTTTTYGTGCAATTTACAAGCATGAGAGATGGTTAGTATGAAGTGTAGGCACTGAGGGTGGTCACTGCCAGGGTTTCTTTACGTCCTCAGTGGTTCTTTTACGTCCCTCCTATGTTGGTTAGTAATGATGAGTGTGGTGAGACGGGACCACCATTAACGTGATAATCCGAGCCAGTTGAATGTCTAACCATTTGCAGATGTAATTACGAAAGTCCGATGCTCAACCAACTGAGCCAACCRGTTGGCGGTTAAATCGAGAGAYCTATCGAGAGATCTATCGAAGTAAACTCGAACGGTCTATGGTCACTACCTGCRCGATGCGAAGGGTGATTTCCGGGGAAAGGAAGGAATGATCACGATTACATTATTATTTYCTCAGAGCCTGCCTCGTCTAGAAATAATACTTTTATGAAAGCTGACAATTTTAATTAATTTTTAAAATTTACAGGCTCATCCTTTACTTACAGTTTTTCCAAATATCTTGTGTGATTGAAGGCTGCTTGTGGCAGACGTACTAGTCGATTCATTCGGATGTTCCTGTGATTAAAAGAAAAGGACTGAATTGTCCTATTTCACTATGACGTCACTGCTTGTTTATGTGGGGGATAGAATCGCCAAATCCAATAGAAAGTTCAACAAAATTTGCTCCTAGCGAAACAGTTTAACCTAAAATGGCCTGAACTTCAGATATAATATTTGTTAATATGTACTAAAAAATATTCTGATCGTTTGCTGGCTGTTCTACTTCTCTTCATGGATTGATACGAGTTTTAGAACAATTTTCGGTGAATTTGCGTTGATTTGACCCCCTCCGACGACCATGATCCCTTGCGTTTAAACAATAGATTGTTTTGATGTGACGTCATAGTGAAGTAGGGCAATTTTTTTACGACTGTGTGTGTTGAGGGTGAGAAGAAGAGTCTAGAGGACAAGGAGGACAAGAGCCAAAATACTGGGCTTCCAGTAATTGTGTTTAATGTTATCTAGAGGAGAAGGGAAGAAGGATAGATGGCTTTTTGCCAATCGACGTCYCTTTTCTATGGTCTGTACGCCAACATATGATCCAAACTCAAGTGGAACCACGAGTATTTCACTGCAAAGTTTGGATCATATGCTGACGCCATACCATGTTCGATAAGAGTCAGTAAACACCATAGAAAAGGGACCTCGATTTTAATTTCTTTTGTTTTCTTTTGTTTTCTTTTGTTTTGTTTCGTTTCGTTTCGTTTTGTTTTGTTTTGTTTTTTACCGAAAAAAATCACTTATTTAACTTTTTCACTTAATTCACACGCATTTTTTTCGACGGTTTTTAGTGATCAAAACAACTAACGGAAATAGCGTGCGCTCGTTGACGTCAACTTATTTGTCTGGGCCCAGTTGTGCGWAGGGTGGATAGCGTTATCCGATTGATAAATCCTTATCCAGTGGATAAAGTGATGCTGTTATCCAATAAATTTATATCCACTGGATAAGATATATCCGTTGGATAGCGTTATCCACCCTTCGTACAACCGGGTCCGGTCCTCTTATTGATCGTAAAAAATAGCCAATCAGCGCGCGAAAAAATTAACAATTTGTGGTAGTGTAACAGCTTGGGCCGGGGAAGGGAGGTAGGGGAGATAGGTTTGGCTAGGGGAAGGTGAGTAAGGAGAAGTGGGAAGATAATTACGTAGTGAGATCATAAATATTTACTGCAATATAGATATCCATTTTTATCAAAATGGGATACTACACACAGGTAAATGAATGCAGTTACTGCTGACTTACAAGTATCGTAGAAAAAAGAGACCTCTGAAAGCACCGTACTCGATCGTGCTTATGTAATTCACTGAAATATTCCTTTAATAAACAAAGAAAATATTTATAAATTCAGTTCTGTATCCTTTTCTGGAATATTRTGAGCATAAACGCCAGSTTCAWTACTTAGAACTGATTTCATTTTTCCTTTCTTTTGTTTCTCTGTTCTCTCTTTTACTCTGTACTTTCCCTTTGTTTTTAATCTTTCTTTCTTTCTTTCTTTCTTTCTTCCTTCCTTCCTTTCTTCCTTCCTTCCTTCCTTCCCTCCTTCCTTTCTTTTTTTAGACAACATAAATTGGTTCCTGCATACGTCCACTTACATTGCAGAAAGTCTGGATAATCCCTTGAATGTGTCGGCTTTCAGAGTAGATATGAAGTTTTGAGCTAGGTAGCTTTGGGAAAATGTAAAGCAGTTAAAACTTACCTCAATATACGTCGCACAAGAGAGCCAAGCAAAAAGTTACTTTTCCCGCCTTGGTCGTAGTAATTACTGCACTTACATTGTTTTGAGATTTGYTGGTCCACTGAGCGCTCCTACTTCAAGATGAGTTATTTTGTTTAACCTCATGTCCCTACGGGAATTAGTTTAAAAGATCTTTAAAT